GAACGAAAGACAAAAGGCTGAATTAGAAGGAAATAAAGGAAAAAGTTTATTTTGCAAGATTTCGCTTAATGGATCATATGGTTACGATGCAATGAATACACAAAATTACGCAAAGACTAAAATAATGAATGCACAGAAGTCACGCGTTGCATGTATGTCAAATAAGTTTAAAAACATAAGAGAAATAGGAGAGGATACGTATCAAGTGATGCTTAAAGATAGATTTTATAGATGTGATACATGTTTACAAGAGGCATTCTTCACTTTAGATAACGCAAAATACTGGTATTTGGTTTTCATTTATGATTTTATGTATAAATGCTTGAATGTTAATCGTTTTCATTTCATTGAAGGTGATACTGATTCATCTTATTGGGCAAATCGCTGGCGACCCAAATCTTCCTAACACTCAAGCATTTCAAGCAATTGTTACCGATAAACAATTTTATGATAAAAACATTTTCAAATTCGCACCTTTTGATTTCTTCTGTTTTGATGAGAAATTTAAACCTAAATTAAAGAATAAAGCTGAAGAAAAAGCACATGAGAAAAAATTATTGGGTTTAGCAATTGAGAAACAAGGTGATAACATGGTTGCTTTATGTCCTAAGTGTTATACATCATTCAACGGTTCAATTGATGGAAGTGATTTTAAAAAGATTGCACAAAAAATGAAAGGTGTTAGTTTACGACAAAATAAACAATTAACACCTAAAAATTATTTGGATATAATAAATGATAAATTGATATTTGATGGTCAGAATATTAATTTACAACTTAAAAATGGGTCAATGACTCGCTTAACAATTGGTAAGACTGCATTAACAGGAGCACACACTAAGGCTGTATGTTGTGAAAATGGATGTTGTATGCCATTTATTTAAAATTTTATTTTTAATGAAATGCCACAGAAGAGACAAAAGGAACCGTTAATGATGGTTTTGATACTATGATTCAAAGAGGTGGGCACCCTTAAAACATTGATTTTATTTTTATATAAATGGATAACACAGATTTAAAAAATTTAATTGATGATTTAGTACTTAATCAAAATTTTCTTAGTTATTGCGATTTAAAATTATATCTCCAAAAATATGATAACAATATAACGGGTGATGATATGGAATATTATTATCCATATTATAAAAATGAAATTTTGAAATATCATAATAAAATAATTTCTGAAATTAAAGACAAAATTAAAAATAATGAATATTCAAAGGGAAAAACTAAATCACAACTTAAACAATTGAAAGATTTCAAAAATAAAGTATTAACAGAAGAAGATATTGATGAATTATATAAATTATATAATCCTGAGCCACAAAAACCAAAGGAACAAAAACCAAAGGAACAAAAACAAAAGGAACAAAACACCCAGGTCCTTCAGACCATAAATGATGCACAAGCTTTAATTTATGATTCATTAGTTAAACCATATTCAGCCCGACTTTTAAATGAAGATCAACTTTTGGAATTCATCCTTCAACATAAACTCGAAGCGGGAAAGTATATCAAACCTTTATATACAGCATATTTAAAACAAATGAATAGAATACATCCAGAATTAATGAAGGAAGGAATGAAATCCAAAATCAAAGCAGATAAAATTAAACCACTTGCAACACCAAAACCTCCAACGACAGTACCGCCTCCTCCTTCAGTTAATCCTTCATCATTCACTTTATTATATCCATTTCAAACATTAAAGAAGCAAAAAGATTTTAAAAAGGATTTCAAGATATTAAATAAACCAATTGACCCGAAAATTCAACCGTTAAAGGAAAAATTTAGTCGCCCTTCATTTGCACCATATCCATATTCATACGAAATCGATCATCTGGAATATTCAAAAGGAAACGTTACTTATTTATTTGCCATTAACATTAACACTAGATATTTATATTGCATTCCGGTGAAAGGGAAAACAGAACAGGAAACAACAAGAGCTATTCAATACTTACTAGATCATGAAAGAGTAGATAATATCAGGGGTGATGGTGATAAAGGATTTCAGGCAGCTATGACTCATTATTTCCCACAAATTAATTTTTTCTTCTCATCCTCTCCATATACGTTTCATAATAAAATAGTTGATGCGGTAATGAGAACTCTTAGAGATGCGTTAGGGGTTAACGGTCAGATATACTGGGATGGAAATCATGACTCCATCATACAACAGTTAGTATATTATTACAATAATACATGGCATAGAACTATAAACATGAAACCAGTGGAAATGAAAAATGATATTTCAAAAGAATGGGAATATATTAGAAAGCAAATGGAAAGGTTGAATGATGTGAAACGTGAACAAATTAATTCGGGGCTCATGAATTTTAAACAAGGGGATAAAGTTTTGATTCATCTCGATTATGGAAAAACTGATAAATCAATGACAAAAGAAGACGAAGATTTGACACAATAGCTGAATTTGTTAGATATATTAACGGCAATGCATTAGTTGAAGTTGACAATAAATTAATAGAAATTCCGATTTATTTTATTACTCCATTATATTTAAATAATATTTAATTTTTTTTATTTCGTAAGAAATGAGTGACAACGAAGCAGTCAAGAGTCCAGACGATGAATATAAAAAGAAACTAAATAGAATTAAATCAAAAATATGCTATTACAAAAAGAAGCCACAATGCGGTGGGGTTGATGCCATAAAACTAATGGAACTGAAAACGATAAAGAAATAATCGAAAAATTAGAAACTTACCGTTCAATCCTTAAACTGAGTGAAGCAAAATTAAAGAATTTAATAGAATAAATAAATTGATTGGAAGAGATGAATTTAATAAAGATGAATTTTTAAACAATCCAAATTTAATTTTTATTCCTCTTTGACAACATCTCTCTTTCCATCATTACTGCATAACCGCATTTTCTCAATTTTAGTGGTTTGTTATTTTTAACATGTTCTTGCATCATTTTTATCGTTTCCTCCCTTGTTATGATTCGTGGTAAATTTTGAGCTTGTGGGGTATTCATTTATGATAAAAATAAAAATTTGTTATCAGTTATTTTATCGTTAATGGTTTTTAGGTTATTCAATAATTAATTATTTTTGAAGAACCGAAGGTGCTACCATGTTGCCATGTGCTACCAGGTCATTTAACTTCTCTGAAAAAATGAGACAACATGACATTTAGACAACAACACAGGAGGAAGGCAGTTATGAATTATTTTTGAAGAACTGAAGGAGTCACCAGGTCACCAGGTCACCAGGTTAATTAACTTCTCTGAAAAAATGAGACAACATGACATTTAGACAACAACACAGGAAATGATTTGTCATGACTTCATCGTAAATGAGTGTAAATCAGACAAAAATATATTTTATCGTTAATGTTTACGTTAATGTTTTGTGAAGAATATAGCAACCGTCTGAATTCCGGCGGTTGTTTTTTTATACAAAATTCTGAGTAAAATAATTTTTAGGGTAGATGGTTAGATCTAACCTCATTTCTAACCTCATTTCTAACCTCATGACATTTTGACAACAACACAGGAAATGATTTGTCATGACTTCATCGTAAATGAGTGTAAATGACCCAAAAATAAAGTTAGTTTTAAAATTATTTTTATTTTTTTATTCCTATATAAATGACAGCAACAAACAGCAACAGCAACTTCATCATTTCTGATGAACAAGTTATTGATTCATTAGCTGAGGAATTAGTTGTGGCAGAAACTAAAACCCTCAACGAAAGAATTGGTGAAAACAAGATTGATTTACATAACTACCTCAAACATGATGGAGGAAGAGGAAGGAAAACTGGTACAGCTTTATTAGTAAATAAAATTTCAAATTTAACGATTATAGATGTTGATATCAATAATCATACAATGATGAACTTAAAGAAACAGTTAGAAAAGACATTTTATCAAAACTTTCGGATAAAGATGTTATCGTTAAAACCGCTTCAGGAGGTCTTCACATTTATTGCAACACTAATTTCTTCTATGCAGTTTCGAACAGAATGATTAAATGCTATTCATGCAATGATTATGATATTGATATCATGACTTCTATGGATGATTCAAAACGTTCTTTAGTGGTTATGGCTGATTCAAGAGTTCGCAAGAATGCAACAGAACCAATCAATACATACTCATTCATTCGTGGAAGTTATGATTCAACATTAACCAGAACAGTAAACGATATATTAAATGATTTGAATATTAAGGTAAGAGTTGAACAGAAGAACGAAGAAATAAAGACTATCATGAATGAAAACAAAGATGTAAACATTGACGATAAACTTGCCCAGAGCATAGTTGATGGCATCTGTGATTTTGAAGTACATAATGACGGTGGAAACATGAATTTAGAAAAAGAAGTTACATTATTCACACTGTTTCAAGCAATTAATTCGTTACCTAATCATTTGATTAATGAAGCATACGATAACGTTTATAATTTCTGCAATTTAACTGAAAATGCAAAAAGTAATTTTGAAAAAGCACGTAGTAGATATGCACATTTAATGACTTCTCCATTTGTTTTGGTGAAGATTCTAAAACTTTATCAAAAGGAATATTATGATGAATACGTTTTGCCTTTATTACGTAAGCCAAAAATAACATTTGATATCAAACTTGATGACTCGTTTTTGATAACAGATATTAGACGCAAGGCTGAAAATCATCAGTATAAAAACAGTTCTGAAGTCATTGAGGATTTATCACGTGTAATCCGTTTTGTAGATTGTGGAAATAAATATTTCATTCAAAAGGACTATAATATTCATGATAAAATGAATCAAATATCATTCGTTCTTCAATCAAACATGAAAGAGTCACTCAAAATGATTAAATTATTTAAAGAAGAAGGTAAAACCATAACAGCATGGGACGTACTATTAAATCAATTATCCTCATTAACCGTTAAGGGTGTTTGCTTTAAATCTGATTCCCCAGATGTTTTCTCAACGTTTCAGGGTTATAAATACAACATTCTCGAAAAGCCTGATTACTCAAAAATTGAGATGTTTATGAATTTCATTAAAGAAGCCATTTGTGATAATAACGATGAAGTGTATAAATACCTTCTCGGCTGGATTGCATCAATGATTCAACATCCTGGAATCAAGAATGAAACAGCAATTATTTTGAAAGGACTTCAGGGAACAGGTAAAAACAGATTCACAGACATTATTTCTGAACTCCTCGCCGGTTATTCATGTAAAAACATTACTGAAATAAGTGAGCTAACGGGTAATTTCAACTCAGTAGTTGAAAATAAAATGTTTCTTGTACTTAATGAACTCAAGAATGTAGGTGAAGACAGACTCGCAAACTTCAACGCTTTGAAATCAATTATAACGGATAATGAGATTAGAATTAATGAAAAGAATCAACCCAGAAGAACTGCTCAGAATGTTGCAAACTTCATTTTCGTAACTAACAACGTCTACCCTGTCAAAATTGAAGTTGGAGACAGAAGATACGTAGTTTTAAGGGTTAATGGTAAATTCAAGGGTCAATTTGATTACTTCAAGAATTTAATGGATTCATGCACTAAGGAATTTTATGATAACCTTTTAACATATTTTATGCAATATGACCTTTCATCATTTAATGTACGAATCATACCGATGACTGAAGCCAAACAAGATTTAATCGAGTTATCAACAAATCCTTTAGATGTATGGATAAATACACATTATGATGAATTGTGTGCAGGTATGACGTGTAAAAATGCTCTATTCTGCAAACCATCAGACATGAAAGACAAGAATTTTCAAATGAGCATTAAGGATAAATGTGATAGGAAACAAAGAAAAATAGATGGTAAACAAACATGGTATTATGTTTTGAAAGAAGAAATGAAAGGATTATATAAACAGGTTGAACCAAACTAGGGTTGTTAAAAATATCAAAAATTAGCGTTTTGAAGACACCATGGTGTCTTATAATTTTCCCTTCCTTATTGGCGTGTAGAAATAAATGCGCCAATAGATTGAAGAAGAAGAATTGTTTTTCTCTTAATGAACTTTAATCCTTTTGATATAAGAATATTAAAAACATTAATATAATTTCGATTTCGGAAATTAAATTTCCAAATTTTTTGTCGATTTCGGAAATAACAGGATCCCGCATCCAACACGCAACAACAAAACACAAAACACACTTTTTGGTTCTTTCATCGTTTTAATCGTAATTTATGTAATACATGATTTGGATAAATTTTACAAAAATAGAACCTATATTATATTCTTTTCAAAGATTCTTGCAACATCAAAAAATAATTGTATTTTAAAAAAACAATCATATTATCCTTTCATTATTTTAAACTTAAATTAGTTTTTATGATTGACTAAAGCAATCATATTTTTCATCATTAAATAAACAAAAAAATAATATTTGAGAGTTATTTCAAAAAAAAACATTGAATTTATTAATTTGTCTCAATTTCAGTATTATAAATTTTTATAATTTCAATATTTTGAAAATACACTTTTTAATATTCCAATATTTATGATATTTCAATGTATTAAGTGGTCTCAAATTGAGCTTCTCAAATATAAGTTGGCCTATTCAATAATAAAATTAAATAATATTTAAAATAATAAATAAAAGTGATTGAGGTCATAGCAAAACGGCTGTTTCAGTCATTAATTCTTAAAAATAAAAAGGGTAAAAACTAAATAAAAATGGGTAAAATTCAATAGTGTCTGTGCTATCGTTCAATTTGAAGGTGTCTTTTGAAACCGCAAGACAATTGAATTTTTGATAGTGTATTATGGTTTGACAGACACCAATGAAAAAAATAAAATGATATTATTTAAATATATAAGATCCTTATATAAAATATAAATATTTTATCGTTTTATTTTCTTGTTTTAGAAATGTTTTTTATTGAAAAATCAAATAACTAACTCCAAAATAAAATTTTTGATTTAAAGACACTATGATGACACCAGGCAAATCTTCCAAGACACCTATCGTCGGGAATCTAACAACCCTAAACCAAACGATAATGAGGATTCATTTACTGACGATGAAATACCTGTAAATGATGCTTTATAAAGTATGATTTGAATTTATTTTTGCATTAATCCTGTGTTGTTGTCTAAATGTCATGTTGTCTCATTTTTTCAGAGAAGTTAATTAACCTGGTGACCTGGTGACCTGGTGACTCCTTCAGTTCTTCAAAAATAATTCATAACTGCCTTCCTCCTGTGTTGTTGTCTAAATGTCATGTTGTCTCATTTTTTCAGAGAAGTTAAATAACCTGGTGACCTGGTGACCTGGTGACCCCTTCAGTTCTTCAAAAATAATTAATTATTGAATAACCTAAAACATGAGACTTTGTCTCCGGACTCTTTGAGTCACTTAACGTAAACATTAACGTAAACATTTATTTCTGCAGTTCATCCATTACTTCATTACCTAATTAATTACAGACATAAAATATATTTAGTTCATTCATTGAACTCTATACCATGCGTAAACTGTCATGTAAGATGGCATGTATTCTTTACTTTGTCCCGTTGTTTGTGTATATCCTGAAACGTGATGTGTATGGTTTCCTTCTCCCTGAGTGTCACTCCAGTAACAATTTATGGCAAACTTAACATCGTCTTTAACATCATATCCTTTACCTTTTGTCATTGCTGACCAATCCCAATATCTATGCTTATGCCAACCTGCTTGAGATGTGCTTAAATCTATGTAGTGACTATGTGCAGGTAAATTTTCACCTGAAATCGTTTTACTTCCCCCTGTTTCCTTTGAAGAGTTTGCACAATAAAAACCTGTCAACTATTTGTTCCATGCACCAACACCAAACATTACTTGAGGACCTCTTGCATCCATAGATGTATAAATAGAACCTACTGGGTTCATTAAATCAAACATATGAGATATTATAGGATTGTCTCTTTTGAACTTAAAATATAGTGTAACTATTTCAGGTTTCTTCTGGTTTGTGTCAGAATATTTTTTATAATATAATCTTATGTTTTCAGGGTAGGTAAATCTTGACTATAATATTTATTTCTGTCATCTGTATAATAATATACTTTTCGTTTTTTCTATTGCATTATATCTTTATATCTATAATAATCTAAATATAATGTTAACTTTTGTTCATCTACATGTGGTGTTCTGACATCATCTCCATAGTCATAATAATATGGTGCTGGAGCTGGGTCAGGCAATGTCATATCTGCCATTTCATAAACTCTTAAATATTTCTTTTGTTCGTCTCCATATAAGTTTAAGTAACAGTTGTTGTCTAATGGAACTTTAACTTGTGTGCCATCATTCTTTTTATAACTTACATACATTTCATTGTTATTTTTCGGAATGAGTTTACACCGTGTACCATTTTTTAAGGACTGTACAAACTGCCATCTAAAATATTTATTTTCTTCATTGACAGAAAAAGTCACCAACAATAGTTTCAATATTTTTCGTTGTTCCTATTCAAACTTTGGTATATTTCGTTAACATATGTTTTATCCACCTTCTTCTCTAACTCATCGTTAACATATTCCTTATCCTTTCTCTTCTCCTAACTATCATTAACATAAGTTTTATCCGCTTTAAGGTCTAAACATCCCGAAACCCATTCTGTATCAGCTTTAACTTTAAAAGTCTCAAATGTCCATTCATGATACCATTCAACCTTTTCTTTAATTTCATTATCTTTTCATCAACATAAACCAAATTTGCCTTCTTATTTAACTCACTATCCACATATTCCTTATCTGCCTTCTTCATTATGTCGTTTAGGAAACCTTCTATGAATTCCTCATTTAAATTAAATCTTCCATCTTCAAAACTTTAGGAAATGCATTTAATGCGTAATATCTCTGTCTTCTGGTGGAATTGATGTTATATCATCCGTTATACCTTTTAATTTTAGAATTCATAATAATAAAATTTCTTTTATATTTGATATCACTGCACCACCTTTGCAAACGAATTCGAAATGGTCATTTTTCAATACTATCTCCAAATCTCCATATTTCAACCTTTGCGTTTGTTCTGCCGTCTTGAATTATATGCATATATGGCGTATGTAATGGTCTGAGGGACCTGGGTGCTTTGTGCCTTAAGTTGCTGTGGTTGCTGTTGTTTAATCATTTATTATGATTTAAAAATAAATATTTAATCCGTTATCTCATCAGCTATTTTTCTATTTGAAATTGCCATAATATTTTCAATTCATGAATTCTAAATCACAATCAAATAGGTCAGTTATTCTAAATTTAATATTTGATAAATCTTTTGAATGAAGAATAAATGAATTCCCGGATAATTGAAACGGATATGATAAAGAAAATGTGTTTAAGTTGATGATAAAATGTTTTGTAATTGATGGGTAAGAGTTAGGGTCTAAATGTTTGATGTGAAAATCTCATTGGGGTATTAACTTTATCACATTTGATTAAAATGAAATTGGAACCAGTGTCAGAATACAAAACATCCCCAACATCTTTTTCAAAATTTAATATCCCCAACAATGAACGAAGATGAGGAGTACAAAATTTAATTTTCAGCGGAAATTTAATAAGGTTATTTATTTCATCAAGTTCAAAAAGTTTATCGGGTTTGATTTAAAATTTTCTTCATACCATACGATAAATGATTCATTTAAATAACTTAAAATCATGTTAATATCCCATTTCGCTATCACATTATTTATATACATATCAACGTTTTTTCAAGGTCATCTTTAATAAATGATATATAATCTGAAGGTCTAAAAGAATGGGATTAAATTTACCACTCACAGAAACGAGAGTAACATTATAAATTCCGCTAACTGTTAAATTTAATTCACAACTATTATTCGAAATAATATTGATAATTGACATTTTTATTACGATTAAAAATATGGTAAAGCGTTATTTTCCAGTGATAAATAAAACTAGAATAAGATTACCTCAAGAATTCATAAATTCAACGAATAAGAAATTCATTCATGTTATAAATTTTAGTGTTTTCAGAAAATATGAGTCAATGTCATATTCATCAACAGGTTATATTTCACTTCATTCAAATTTAGTTCAATCAAACCCATATAATGACCATTTCATAAGATTTTCAGATGGTATTAAAAATGTAATTGATAGATTAAAATATGAACAGATTAACATTATCGAATTTTTGGAATTTTGGTTTAAATATCCCGATGGAAAAAAGATTGAAGTTAAAGATAAAGCTGATACTATAACAAAAACAATTACAATGACCGATCGGATAGTGGGGAACAAAAAGAAATAAAACAAACGATAAAACTGGTGAAAGGTCAATTATTATTGATTATGATTCAAAGGATTATTATTCGATAATGTTAATGCTTGAATATTAAATAGCCTTAACAAAGAATTTTTCAAGTGATATTTTATATTCATCAACTATTTATGATATATAAATATCATTATAAGTTAAATGTAGTTCAGTTGTTGCTCCGTTCTTTGATATCTTAATTGTGCTAATATCCTTTATAGGATTTATTTTTGCAACTGTTCCGCAGCATGAAACCTCATCATCTATGAAAAATTGAATCTTAACGTCTGAATCTTGAACATCACAAAGAATGGCGATAATGTGAATTAATGATTCATAAGGTAAAATAATTAAACCAGATTGGTCAATTAAATTTATTATTGAATCATAATTATTAATTATTATATCACGGTAAATTTTCATTAATTCAGAATTTAATGTCTACTTTATATGGCGCATTGCGACTGGAATCGTAGATTCCTGGGTTCTCGATGTTTGATGAAAGAGGTGGGGGTATGTTGGATAAGTGGGAATTTCAACGGGTTCTTTACCGGGTTCAGATAAAATGATTGGGTCTTCATCTTCTTTATTTTGCTCCTCCTCTCTTCGGTAAGTCACG